ACCGGCCTTCCTCGTCCGATTGAAGTGTATGGTGAGTGGTGTGATGTTGGAAGACACAACAATTTTCCAATCGTCTATTCGAGTGTTTCCGATTCCCTCTAGAAACTGAGTTAGCAATTAGTTAGAGTGATCACAGGATTAAGCTAGATATTATGCTCTGCTCACGAGCTCCTTGGATAAGTTGTGTGTTGTGGTTTCTGGGAGTTGGAGGCTGTGTGGCCGATTCTCCTCTTAGTATTGATGAGCTACTACTGCCGTTGGAGAAGGCTGCCATCATTTTCTTCCATGACGATTGTGCTGTTGTCAACGTGTGCACATCGAACAGTAGATAGTGTGCCACTCAGAGCAATACAACAATTTTGACCAACATGATTGTGATGATCAGTATGAGTGTGATTGGAATCTCCAATGGCAGCTTATATTTACGTGTGTGTGAAAGTCAACGCGTTGCTCGATAGAGACTAAGGGTGTTGTGGGATGTTGAGAGTTGACGTCATTCTGTACGAAGTCATGCATGATTTCTACTTCCGATGTGTATTTGAACACGTATCCTGAATATGAAATAATTGACTCGAATCAAGCTATGACTTCCATATTTTCATCTCACAATCTCGTCTTCTTTTTATTATGGAGCATTTCACTGTCCTGCACGGAAGTCATTTTCGAGAATGATAGTCCGTAATTCGGACTGAAATTCAAATGTGCAGTAATTCAAGTGTCCCCGCCACGCATAACTCCACACCAACTTGCTTAATCACAATGAAAATTGCATCAGTAACTTCTTGCTGAATTCCCTTGTCTTGTGTAAGTAAGACATTTCACAGAATCATATAAATTGGAGGACCAACGTTCTCATCATACTCTATGCAGGGTTGGATAAAGGGAAGCTGTAGGCCAGTTGAACTGGTCGTCAAAGAGATTCGTTAAAACGCTTCAGCTGTCTTCCATGAGAATGTGCCAAGAAAGTGAAGGAGAGCTATGAATTGACACCGTCAAAACTCAGTGAAGTAACACAACTGAAATAAAAATGAATTTATCACTATGAAACGATTGACAATCGTTTCTGATTGAGTTCACAAGACGAGTTTACACAGTTTATGCACTATGTAGCTGACTGGTAATAGTTTTTTTATTCGACTATCTTGACTGATTTTGTGAATCAGTCGTTTATGGCTTGAATATCTTCTCGAATAGCTGGAAATTATAAGCGTGACCATAACATGATAGTGGTCACTGTTGACAAGTTACAATGCTAGCTGTTACCAACAGTACAACGAAATGATAAACGTCTTGAACTGAAGAAATTCTAGAAAACTCCTATTTCAGTGTTGTACTGCATTTGATAAATTTATATCTGCAGATTTCGATTACTGTGAAACTCCGTACTGAAAAGCACCGGCTGACCTGTTCACTAAACAATGAACACCACTTCCGGAGATCATACTTCCGTGATTGGAGATCGTGTATGACCGAATCTAATGTTCCCTACAAGCTGTTAAATAGTCATGTTTACATGTCAATATTCTAATCCTTATTCTCCCCAGATTCTCCTTTCAGCATTTTGTGCGGTGCTTGTCTTGGTTCTCTTAATGGACCATTTTATTCATTCAAGTAAATAATACAAATAACATCTACATTGATCAAATGTGCCGGCATTTCTTCCTAATATCTCATCAATAATTTGCAATGATGCATTACCGGAGGCGACAATGGAGGCGGATCCATTTGCATTGGATTGTGTGAACTTTGCAGTATCAAATCCGTTGACCATGGTGTTTGCACGTCAATTCTACAAAATATTTGCTGAAAGAGTTGTGGGAGATGTTCTGTTTGCATGACAATAAGCCCCATCAATATGAATTCTAGTCATCATCGCTCTGGTGGAATAAAACCACACTGCTCTTCAGCACCTCAATGACTTCCACGGAATACGGAAAACCTATCTCTTTGGGTGTGTGGCTCACACAATTCCTTTCACAATCCTCCTATTTGACATGTTCATTGAACAGGACAGGTAATTTGTGTACATGTACATGGTAGGTTAAAGACTACAAATCTGCAATGTAGTAGGGAGTCGGGAGCACTTGATTTCCGTCAAGATGTCTCAGGTTGAGAGAAATTTCAAAATGCCGTGAAAAGGAGAATTATCAATCTAATTCCATGCAATGTCTGTTGGAGATGAATCGTAGCATATTCACCTAAGGCAAGATAGCTTATGGGTAGAGCAGTTTCAACGAAGACACGAACAGTTCACATAATTGAAACTGTAAGCCACTAATTATATTGACGAAAATAAGACATCTTTATGAAGTGAGTGCATCCCATCTGGTCAGTTAGGCGTCCTGATAGGAAAATCAGCTATGAATCACCCATACGTGCAGGACACCTCACTGCGTTAAGCAGTTCTATCGGTAGGACACGATTTGACAAACAGATTATCTTACATTTATCACGACAAAACGAGGAAAATTAATGAACAATTTTGCTAAAGTCTCACTGAACACCTTCATATTAATAATCACATTTCACAATTTACAACAATAATATTCTTAGACAAAAACAGAAATCCGAGCAAAATTATCAAGGGAGAAATAATGGAAGAAAGGAAATCAAATTCTCATTCAATTTTCAATTTGAAACTTCAGGTGTGATTGCAAATCCACACAACTGACAAGATGAAGATAATTACACTGTATCGATGATAACACACGCCAGATACAAAGAAAGACAATACGGTTAATAGACTGTTCAACAAAGACAAACAACACCTCTACTGGATTTATGAAGGTGAAAGGAATAATTCGAATTTTCCCAGCCTCCAACTTACAAGTCTCAATCATTCGAACATGTGTGCGTTGAACATCACTATCCAACTGATTGTAACTTTCGAATATCACAATAATCTATCAGCATATGCAGCAGTTCACATTATACAGAATAGGCTGAATACTTTGACAAACATGATTTCCGTTATTCAGATAAACGACATTGATGCATGGAGATGTGGACGTTTATATACACTTGTGAAGTTCTCAAAATTTATTCTGAGTGGTTCAAATTCATGACTAGATCAATAGTTTATCAAGCCACCAATTATTTCACTCTTATAATCATTAAGTCAAATATAGTCAAAGTATCACAACTAGGCCGGGTCACAACCCCATGACCCATAACTATTATTGTATGGCTAGTTTGATTTCACTGGTTATGACTTTTCTAAATGCCTTTGTGCTTGCTCTCTTGACTGCCATTTATGGTATCCAGCGGAACACATATTGTGACTGGAATAGTTTCAGTTTTTAGAGGAACTTATGCGGTTCTACGGGCCGAATCAAACTGGACACACAGCCGATGAGTTTGGTCCCAAAAAAGTGGGATGAGCCCTGGGGTTCAGACGACTTCTATCTAGCTAGCAAACACCACCTTTGGTTGATGTGAGTGTTGGTATGCAGCTAGTCACTTCAATCAGTCAGTAGTATGTAGTAGTATGTATGTAGTATGTTGTGATTATGTGTTTTTTATTCATCACCTAGAAAGAGCACATATCAAATGAACAAAAATAGTAAAGTTGTTTTGATAAAGTGGGAGTCTTATAATTGAAATGGTTTTTCACTGGATTATCTTCGGTGAAGTTGTTGCACACTGCCGAAAAGTGTCAAGCTATGTCAAAATAACTATCTGATGATCCTGGGAACTTCTTGAAATCTATCGAATGGGCTCTACAGATGATCTAGGGACTCAGTTTACAATATTTTTATCCCTTGCACTCCGAGTGCTGCACAGGTCTTCAAGCTTAGAGCTATGAAATTTTAGTATCGACGAGGTTGTTTTTGCAGAGTTGGTCTGCGAGTTTCATCCCCAACATTCCCTCCCTTCTGGGCTTTCTACCAGTTGACAGGCTTCAGTGAGGTCTTAAAGTGTACCAGTCGGGACTTCATCCCGGGTGACCTGTGTCGCTGACCAAGAGTCTACGATGGAGTCACTGACGCAGTAGCCAGGCGAGGTGGCCTATTAAGTCATTTGTAGTTTCTCCCTCCTGTCTGATAACCGGGTTTTATCATCATCAGCACTACTAAACATGAGATGTAACCTATTGTCCATTGAATATAATTCCGCTGGAAAGTATATTAAACCAGTTAACATGGGAAGTAGAACGCTAACATTTGCAGTCAAAGGGAGCTGGCCTTCTCACCGTACCTCTCACTTTAAGCGGCAGTGTCTCACAGCCATAAAGAAGCATAGAGTGGACTACACACACACACACAGATGCACACATACAGGTGTGTACAGCCACTCATTGATTGCCTGGCCACCTTTTCGCTTTTTCAGCCACATAAGTTGTATTCTTAACTGTTTCAATGTGATATGATTTATTCAGATGCGAGTTATTATTGATATTCTTACTTTTTCTACTGTTGTCATATTTAGTAAATTCGATTTTGTGACACGTGTTCGAAGCTGGGTTAAAATGGATTTGGATATGCATGTCAGTATGGCAACTGTAAGATATCACTTAACTATATATGTCCAAACCAAGTTCACTTTTAACGGTTTGAAAACATTCGGGTATTGGGTATATGATATTCATTATAATAAAGGTTTTTTTGTATTTCCCAATGAATGAAAAACAAAACGATATTGTTTTCACTGACGTTTCGCTATTTAATGCTAATAGCTTTCTCAAAGTATTATTAAACCGGAATTTACAAAATCTCAGCATATATATATATAACAAAGAGTTAAGGGGTGAGAAAATAGACAAGTTAGGTCAACTTAAAAGGACATATTGAAAGTCGAAATAATAATGAAGATCACTAAACCAAATATCAAAGGTAATAGTACATCTGTTATAATAGCAAAACAAGGTTTACTAACTTGATCATCGTTCGTTAGTCTGGGGTCATTTTTAGTTGTCAAGTAATGTGATCTTCATTATTATATATATATATATATATATATATGCTGAGATTTTGTAAATTCCGGTTTATAATACTTTGAGAAAGCTATTAGCATTAAATAGCGAAACGTCAGTAAAAACAATATCGTTTTGGGAAATACAAAAAGCCTTTATTCTAATGAATATCACTTAACTAATTTAATGGATTCACGTAAAATGCTTTGCGATCAACTACGTGCTATTGAAAGCAAAATAGAAGGTTGTCAACAAAATGATGAACCATACGATATGTATGTTAATGAAATGAACAGTCTAACAGAGACAATTCAATCACAAACACAACAGATAAGTGATGCTGGTGTACGATCATCAACTGATGCAGGAGGTTGTTGTGGTGTCGCTGCATCAGATCCTGATTGTCAGATATTATCGTGTCGTTTAGTACAATAACATAATATTCAAGAAGCAGGCATAGCTTTGAAATATTTATTTGAAAAAAAGTAAATCTTTGATTGTTAGTTTTGTATGCAAAAAATGTTTATTGTCTTTAGTCGTTGTGTAACACCAGAAGACAAGGACCAGGCAACAGATCGTTTATTAAGGTAATCAACACGTATTTATATATTTTCACGTACATTATTATAGATTATTTAAGCAAACAAATACAGTCTTCTAATTGGTTGTTTCTCACTGAAAGTTAATCTTTCATCTCTTAGTGGCTGTTTCTTGAATATCACATCATCTATATGCTAACTGTATCCGCCTATGCAAAGTCTGGTTTGGTTGGTTGTTGAATAAGTCTTTGTTCATATTTTCTCACGACCAATATTGGGGACGTAAAATTTGACGTAAATTACTGTCTGCCAATTTGGCTAGCAGCCTGCTCTCTCCACACTCGTCCCCCCGTCAAATAGTTTGGACTGAAGTCGGCTTGATCTTCTTGGTGCTGGCGTCATCGTTGGCTTGTCTCGCTCTATCCATTTCTGGAGCTCGCTGATGTTCACCCGCTTCTCTGTGTTTGCATTTTCGGTGGTATATACTTGACCCGTCTCTCAGTGACCGTGTATGGTCCTTCCCGCTTCGGTAGCAGTTTTCGCGACCCTGGTGCGTATCCGCCGGTGTTTCGCCTATCTCTACATTTGACTTGATCTCTGATCTCGAATCCGGGGTACTTCCCCTTTCGCCTCAGTTCGGTTTTCACAGTGTCCACTTTCTGTTTTCGTTTTACGTTGTTGATGGCTTTTCTCCTCTCCGTCCGCCATCTCGTCATACTCCAATGCTGATGGAGGGGCCAGGTCTTGTTAAGTATCGGTATCCGTGGTTTCCTCCCAGCTAACACCCTTTGTGGCCAGCCACTCTTTCAGGGTGTGGTTATTTCTCTCGGTCAGCCCGTTCGTTTGTGGGTGATATGGCGTTGTTCTAATTTTCATGATACCTAACTGTTGCAACCGACCTTCAAACTCTTCGCCTTCAAACCAAGGACCTTGGTCTGTCAATATTGCTTTTGGCACACCGTGATTTGCAACGATATGTAGAACCACTGCTTCTGTGACCGTTTTTGTGCGTTGATCAGGGATCGCGACTGCGTCTAGCCATCGTGTGGCATGTTATGTCATGACCAGAAGATATTGATTGCCATTGGACGTTAGTCGAAAAGTAC